TCCCGTTGGGAAGATTTGCATCTTATGCGAAGATCGACTGACAGGGAACGACGACTGGGCTGAACCTTGGACGATGGGGGTCGTTTGGAGAGCTCGAAAGCTTGCAGGCTTGCTGAGGTGCACTTCCCGGTTTGCGCCAGGCACGCCACTGGCCAGGTACGGCAGGTACGGGGGCTACCCCTCGCCGTTTGTGAGCCACATGCGCACAATTCTGGTGGTGGAATTCACATGGGAGGGGGCTCTGCCAGGTACCAGGCCGCCTGCACGACGTCCAGCCAGTGAGCGCTGGGCAGAACGCCAGTAGACTTTCAGAGGTGTGGGCAGAACCTAGCACACTGCCGTGTACGACTTGCTTGAACTGGGAAGTGGCTTCGAGAATGAGGTGGTGGTGGTGGTGGTGGATCTGGTGGGAGGAACACTCCTTCACTGGGACTCTGCTCTGGGCTGGGAGTGGGAGTTGGTCCCAATTCTGGTTGAAACACTGTCATCCAGCCCAGCCAATGGGCCTCTGGGAGGTGGAAACGGTTTGATTGGCGACAGGCAGCCGGGGGCGCGCCCGGGCACGGGCAGAGAGACACGAGGTTTCTGGAAGACAAGAGCGAGAACATGTGTGTGAAGGGATTGACCTTCCCGGTGCAGTCTGCAGAGGATGATGTCACGTCCAGGAGGTACGTACTCGCTGCACACATGTTATCAGACGGTGGACCGTGCCTCAGCACCCCGTCTGGCCTGCCTCAGGGCTGTCTGCTTGTGTCTGGGGTCTCAAATGTCAAATCAAGTCAGGCAAGTTGCGTCGCACCGCATCGCCTTCGTCTTGAACGGCGAATGGCAACTGTAATGTGCATCTATGTAATGATAACCCGACGGATGACGGCCCTGAGGCGGCAGGTATCATGACTAGTGTCAGATGCCTCTCTGCCAGTGGCCAGCGCCGCTGTGCCTGGCGAGCAGACTGGGCCCTGATGATGGGATACTGTCTTGGGTTCTGAACTTCTGAGACCTCTTTCCCGTACCTCTCTCGGCCGGCCTTGAACCCGTGAACACCCCCCCAAGGTTTCGCCGCCGGTGGAGAGACACATGTCGTAGCAGAGGCGTCGCAATTGGCGCTGCGGCGTGCAGTCTGCGAGAGACCTAAAACAACTTTAACCCGTCTGCCATTAAACCGATCTGTTTGGTGACTCTGGTCTCTAATTACCTAGGTCCCAGTCAACCACTGTGCTCTCCCCAGGTCTCGATCCGCGATGGCTGAGTCGTTTACTTGTGATTGATAGACATTCAGCCCGTTTGGAAAGAGGCCGCCACGCGGTTCACGGCAGGCCATCTCGACACGGCATGCTAATTCGTCACACTCACTCCGACACTTGCATTGCGCCCGAGGTTGCCTTTCCGCTCAGGGCAAGGATTGCTTAAATGGCTACCGCTTATCCGTCGTGGATTACGATTACCTTACGGATAGTCTCGCTTTAGCTTCTTGGGTGCCCCAGTCTCCACGTCTGGGCCTTCGTCGCTCAAGTTCTCAACGTACATCCGTGCAATTTTCTGTTAGTGCATTCACGAATCACCACTAGGCACCGGCGTCTGCTCCCTGCATTGAGGCTCGAGTCACTCTGGTCATAAGTCGACCTGGGACGCCTTGGAAAGACGACCCATGAATGTCACGGACATGGCCTCGGTTCCAGAAGTCCGTCGGCCTGGGATTTCGGGGCCAGCTGGGATGACGGGACGATGATGGTGAGGTTTGATGGGATCCCCTAAAGGCCCGAGCAGCGCAGCTGGGCAAGCTGGACAAGCTGGACTACTGCTCGATATTCCAGGCGCAATTCGAATTTCCGGCCAGAACCAAAGGCCCAGAGCCCGCGGAACGAGCATGAGAATGAAATGATGGGCACAAACGAATCGAACGAGCATCATCACCCCGACAGCCTTATATCATCATGGAATAGTGAGACGGCGGGTGCATTCCGTACCTGACGATCTGGCCAGCGTAAGACCTGGTCTTGGGGTCTCAGCTCAAGTCTCACAACGGGGATAATCGTCGCGAGACATTATTGAGAACGCCAGCTGAATTACGGATACCGTTTAAGCAGACGAAAAAAAAAAAAACTGAAATTTCATCTGCCCTTACAGAATTTTTCAATGAGACGAGAAAAAAAAAAAGTTTCGCCGTCCATCCCGTCCGCACGTTCAGCGATATCCGTGGCTTGCAGTCGGTGATAGGTCGGGAGCACCCAGTTTCAGGCGCCTGAGCCCACAGCCAATAGAAAACGGAGCCAGGTGACGTAACGTCTCTGATTGGCAGAGATGCACGCGTTTGTTGTTTTTTCTGGACGCGTCTCGGACGCGCCAACGACATTCCATGACCTCTTGCTTCAGTCTTTGACCTAATCAATCCCGGCAGCAGCGCATGAGAGGCCAGGACAGAGGCCCCAAACGAGGACGCCACACATGAAAGAGAGCGAACGACATGTGCGTTGGAGAGAGAGAGAGACGGCAAAAATTAACGTCGTCGCAGAGCGAGACAGAAAACGGCACACTCCCACACTTTGAATTGCATACTCTCCACCTTTCCGATAGGAAGCTCGTTTTTGCGGCTGCAGATCAGTCAAATTGATGGCCAGACGGGCGCTTAGCCCGTACAAGGACTTTCATGCCATGACTGAATAGCCGAATTAGCTCTTTGAACCATTGCCAGAGGAAGCAAAGGCGAGCATATGGTGTCTCTTGGGGAGGCTTGCGCTATTACCAGCTGGGCTCAAGTCACTCGTCGTTCTTTGACGTCTGGTGGTTTCGAGACGGTCCGCGACGAACGGCCGCCACTCACCATTCGAATACAGGTGCTGCTAGCCCCAGCAGACTCCAGCAGCATTCGGCACCTATCTCAGACCCGGAGCGAGGTCAATTGGCAGGGTGGAAGCGATATCACAGTTTTACACCATTGCCCACACCATCCACTCTGCTGGCTCGAGTATTTCCCCGGCCGGTCCTTGCATGCAGCAGCGCCATTCACGGCCTGTCAAGCTGCATCACGACTCCAGCTTTTTTTTCTCCAGCGTCCATCCCGGAACGGCGCAGAGGGGCATCCGCCAGAATCAGCAGCGTTTGGAAACACTCCGTGGACGGCACGAAACGAAAGTCTGAGGTGGGCAAAAAACCTACTGATTGAAAGATTGAAAGGCGGGTCTGTGGACGGAGTCTCGCATGAACTGCAAAACCTGCTTGCATATGTGTAATGCATAGCCTTCCCGTCTTGTCCACGTCGTCAACTCGTCCATTCACATTTCGTACAATCGTAGTCACCTGGGCCCCTCTCTCTCCAAGTCTCTGCCGGACGTAACCCGCGCGCACACCCCTCCCCACCGAGCCTGAAGTCTGACAAGCCTGAACCTGGGAGGAGCCCTGTTGGGGACAGCTGGGAATCTCTTCTTCTCTGTCAGCACCACCAGACTCCAGTGACCACCGCGCTCGACCTGAACTGGAGCCGGACGGCGTTGGAAGCGTGCTGCAAGAGACCGCACCGCCGCCTGCGACAACCACGATCGCGACCGCGAAGCCATTCGCGACGGTCAAGCAAACGCAGGGACAAACGCTCTGCCTCGACGCCATCTGACAGTTTACGGTCAGAGCCAGAACCAGAGCCAGAGCCAGAGGCGAAAAGAGCACCGACCCCGACACCGTTCGCTCGCTGCTGGCCGTTCGCAGCATCTCAGACTCTTCCCGGAGAGTCGGCGTGTTCCAGCAAACGGTCGCCATCCATCGCGGCGCATCGCATTGCATCGCTTCTTCTGACTCTCGACTGACGAGACTGGAGTGAGTGTGCGAGCGAGCGAGGAACACTGGGATAGAGAACGCACCCCGGTCGATATCAAGCTGCACTTTCACGCTCGCTCACCACACACCATCCACCCTCACCCTCCCTGCATCCGCATCCCGGTTCAGTCTGCACTTTACACCACACACCCTTGCTGCCACCTTCGGCGTACCCTAGCTTGGTCGGTCGTGTCACAGCCCACGCTCCTCTCGTCCAATCGCCCATTCCTCCCGTGCTCCAGAGTGCTCCACCCGGACATCTCTGGGCGTGCTGAGCTGGCCGTCCTCCTCTTTCTTCGACAAGTCAAGTACAACCCGGGCCTCTCCACTCCTACCTTTCCTTCCTGAGTACCTAGCCTTCTAAGTACCTTATCCTCCCACTGCCGCCGCGACCCTCCCACACCACCACCACTACCACCACCACCTTCGCTCACACACTAACCACGCTTAACACTTGCCTCTCTTACCTTGGAAGTACTTCTCCTCACTGCCCGCTGTGCCGCTGCCTCTGCCACCGCCGCCTATTACATCTTGCCTACCCTCCTCTCCCTCGCGTGCTATCGTGCCTGATATCCCCTCTTTTCTTTTCAACCTTTTGCAGCCACAAGAGTCTCTGTCGCACTCACACGCATTCGCAAAAGACAACACCAATACCATCACCACCACTCACACTCACACACTCACCGCACCTCATCGTCCACCTTTCGGAAATCAACACATCACCACCGCTCATCAGATATCGCATCTTCAGTCTATCGATCCGTCGGTCAAGATCGCGAGTCGTTGCTTCGCTGTACAATTTGACCGCCAAAAGCCCCCCTTGCATTCACGACCCACAAGTCATTTCCAGAGTCTAGACCCGACCAAGGTGAGCCATGAGTCTCCTCTCTCTTTCTCCTCCCTTCAATCATGCGAAACCCCGTTCGGGTCAAGAACCTTGGAAGTCTGCCCTGTCAGCCCGGGAGATTCACGACCGCACACCGCGACTACTTATCTAACCTGATGCCTTGCGGCGCGCTGACATGCCCTCCCACTTTCAGCCCACTACCCGTACCCAAACCCAGCACTTCACCCAGGTTGGAGACATCGACCACGTCTAGTAATCGGCCGACATGGCCAAACCCACACGCTACGCCGGCTCTCACGAGCCCTTGCAAATCTTCCAAGACGACTTCTTCGAGAACTCGACAGCAATGATCAACCACGCACCCATGCCCGCCGCATCGAAGCCCCCGAGAAGACCGCTCGGCGCCGCAAGCAACAACAACGTAATCCTCAACCCGCCAGCACTCGCTTCCGACAGACACTCGCCTCTGAAGGCATCGTCAGGCAACCAAAAATCTCCTCTCGCCCCGTTGAAGTCTCAAGGCAACAGACTCAACATGGTTCCCATGGCGCCACCCTCCGCAAGGACACCAAACACCGATTCGCTTCACAAGAAGCCCTACCTCTCCAAGTTCAAGACCGTCGCGCAAAAGCCACCCGTAGTAGATCTCGCCGCTGGGTTCGGCAAGGAAAACGTCCACCCTCAGCTGTATCCCGCGCCGCCAACAATCAACTTTGACCAGTTCTACATGCACAAGGCACCCGGCAAGCGCACGCTCATGGAGGCCGCACCTATCAAGGAATCAAGACCGCTCAAGAAGGTCAAGGCCGACGAGTCCGGTCTGCCGCCACACGACTCCTTTCCTCCGATCCTTGACGACGGGACGAAACCGGGCCACAGCTACGCGACTCTGATTGGGATGGCCATTCTCCGGTCTCCTCAAAGGCGCCTGACCCTCGCCCAAATTTACAAGTGGATTTCCGACACGTACTCGTTCTACAAGGCGGAGGAATCGGGATGGCAGAACAGCATTCGACACAACCTCAGTCTTCACAAAGCCTTCATTAAGGTGGAGCGGCCGAAGGACGACCCAGGAAAAGGCAACTACTGGACCATCCAGGAGGGCATGGAGCAGCAGTTCATGAAGGATAAGCCGGCGAGGAAGACCGCGACTACCGCCGAGAACGTCCCCGTCATGTCGACCCGAATGGAGCCCTCAAGACCGGTCAACGTCCCTATCCAGGAGCCGACTCTGCCGCCTCCGGCACCCATTAACCACGCGACGCTGCCGCCTCTGCCCACGTCTCAGGCTACCGTGGCCGTTGAATTCTCATCCGACGCGACCATTCCCGTTTCCGACTCGGCCGCACCCGAGGATGGACACGACAAGGGACTCGATCAGGACTGCTCTCCCCTGCCGCCCACGATGCACTCTTCACCGCCGATTCCGCGGCACATGGAGCCCCGCAGCCGCACGCCTCCGCCGCCCGGCCGCGGTCCATTCTCCTCCATTACCAAGTCCCACAAGAGGAAGTTTGCCTCCATGGACGACAGCGGCTACATCTCATCGCTCGAGTCTTCGGCGCTGCGGCAGCCCAAGACCGGCATCCTCACTTCGGAGGCTGACCGCCCTCGCAAGCGCAGCCGTGCCGGCAGGGCCGAGGACGAGATCGCTCGCTTGCGCGCTTCCTCTTACGACAGCCCTAGCAAGGGTCGGTCGTACAACGCGTTCGCCCCACCGTCCTCGTCGCCTCTCCGCCAGCAGGGACAGATGCTGCCACCTCTGACTCCGGCCATGAAGTTGAAGCCGCCCACCAAGGCACCGCCGTCTGCATCGCCCAACACGAACCTCCGCCTTCACCGCGACCATGTCCGCCAGATGCTCCAGTCTCCACTCCGCAAGATGGACGGCAATGCGCCTTGGAGCCCCGCCTTCAACCTGGATGAGAACATCTACAACTACAACCTGATGGCTGCCGGTGATTTCGACATCTTCCAGGACATGGATAACGACTTCTTTGACGGCCTCCCTCAGGAGTCGCCATCAAAGAAGTCGGTGAAGCGCCCGCGTATTGAGCGCACCAACTCTGCCAGCGCTCTGGCCGAGGCCACAGACTCCAACAAGTCGGTCGTTTCCACCCCCTTCCTGAAGGCCCCCGCGCAGAACTCTGCAATGTGGGAAACCCCCAGTAAGGTGTTTGATGGGCTCTCATCTCCCATCAAGGGCGGCGACAGTGCCTCCCAGTGGAGATTCCCCTCACCGACAAAGATTTCCTCGTCCTTCTACGAGGTTGCGGCCGAGGGCGACTGGCCCTCTTTCACATTCGACACCGCCGACTTCATGGACGACCCCAACGAGTACTCGGGGCTCGACATTCTGCAGGGCTTTGAGAAGATTGGCTCGGGCTCCCAGCCCAAGCAATCAGGCTCCAAGCCCAGCAAGCCTGCTTTTGGACGAAGCTATACCACGCAATTCTAATCTCTCCCATGAGGCTTTTTTGTCTCATTGATGCTGAGACATGACGACCGTTACGATGTATGAACATACTTATTGGCATAACGTCCGATGCTCAGGCGTTCGACTGTTTCGACCACACGATAATGGAGCGGGAAAACCAGGGCTGGATTGACTTTAAAGACTAATGTCTGATACGGGCTCCGCGGCTTATTTTTCTTGTCCATGATTGTTGCTTTATGATAATGACGAAGCAGCGGCACATACTGGCTTATTGGGGACATGATTCTGGTAGGAACATTTGGGTGTGTTTTTTTCTCTCAAGGCCTCCGGTCTTGATTTCCGCGGTGGACAGGATCAAGCAAAGGCTACACTATGGATTGGCGGGAACTGCTTTTTGGCCGAATGGCTTTTTGTGTGTTTTTTGTTGTACGAAAAATGTTCGTTTGGATGCGTTGCAGATTAGCTCCCTCCACACGGAGGACACTTAGTGTCAAATGCTAGTATGAGCCATCATCACATTCTTTGAGTTGGTCAGATGACTGCATTAAATTGTTCGATCTGCCCTCTCGTGTTCGCCCTCGTCCGGACTGTGACTGCTGGTTTGGATGGAAAGGTACCTCCGGCCACTCTCTCGCATGCTCTTGGCCTATACCCTTTCGGAATACGTTAAACAGTGAATTCATGCGCGAATTCATGCGCGATTTTTGAACAAAAGGTAACTCAGAAACGGGTATCATATTGATTTGCTCTAGTTCAAAATCCGACAAGTCTATGCCCACAGCCCATATAATTCCTAACGCCGCCTTCATTAAATGCTTCCTCGTATACTCGCTTCCATTGATTCCGTAAAGCAACTGCTGTTGCTTAAGCCCGTTAACCACACTCCCAATTGTCCCTTGATGTCATAAAACGTGTCAATATATGCCCATTCTCGTGGCCCAGCCCCCTTCCTTCTGGTTGATGTTGATCTGATACGGGAACGGGTTCGAGCCCTGCGTCGTTATCGGGGGGATGTGATCCTTGTGGGCGTTTACAAAGGTGATGACCTTCATAACCGTCGTCATGAGCGTCTGTTCCATGGCCTTGCGGACCTTAGCCCTCTCTGTAGCAACATTGTCAGCCTCCTACATCCCCAATTTTCCGCGCTCATCTCTCCCAAGACAACACGTACCGGTCTCTGTTCGAGGCTCTGCGACGGTGACCTTTACGGTCCACAGCTCCCAGCACACCTCCTCGTCGCCGCGCATGAGCCAAGCCTTGCGGCGCTTCTTCTCGAAGAACTGCACGTTGAGCTGGCCGCGCCCGCCGCTGCCGCCGCTGGCCGTGTTGGTGGAGGAGCGCTCGGCGTCAAGCTGGCGGACGAGGGCGGTGGCGCGCTGCTCGATCATGGTCTCGAGCTCGACGTCGTCGACGTAGGGGAGGGTCAGGTCGAGGACCTCGCGGGTGTAGGGGACGACGGCGGGGAAGAAGCGATGGAAGAAGATTGTGTGGAGGATTCCTGCCGTTTGAGAAGGTTAGTTCTTGTCCCCATCCTTACTGCATGCCGCTCATAGGTTTTTGGTGGGTGAGAGGATGTCGCGCCCGTGGCGCAAAGGCGATGTGTTCTCGTCGTGTCGTTGAGGTATATGACGTCTGGCGGGGCGGGAAACCGGGGCCATGGGAATGAGGGAAGACGGTACCTTTGACGACGTCCCGGACGGATGCTGGATCCGCAAAGGCGTCGAGGATAAACTCTGGGGGATTCGTCTGCTGCATCGTGTGCGGGGAGGTAGGTATGCTCGATATTTGTTGCGTCCGTCGTAGGCTGAGGATTCGGTGACGATACTGCTTCAAGGGGCGATGATAACGTTCTGAGGATGGACTTACTGACAGTCCCCCTTCGGATGTCAGAAGATGGACCTCTGTGTTGGGTGCTGAGGGGCAGACTGATGCGGGTGCCGCAGCCCGCCGCCGCAGCCTGCCCCGATAAGGGGGGGGGGACCTGATGAGGGGGGCAGTTGGCGCTAGATGGCAGGGATGCGTTTACCCCGAACTCTTGAGTGCCCAAAGGCTCCCGGTCATGGGTCCCGGGGAGAAAGGCGGCTGCAGCACATGTACCTACTCAGTACGTACCTTACCTACACTGATAGAGCGGATAGGTTACCTGTTGTGACGCCGTAAAGTACTGTCAAGTCAGTGACGGAGGTATCACTTCAGGTACCACGCTCGCTTTACGGCGTACAGTGGCCCGCCGCGGGTGTCCGCTCCAGCCACAAGGCAGCGCCTGCCACGGGCCAGTCATGGAGCGTGAAGCGTGTTCAACCGTCAACGTGTGCCGTGGTCTCTATCGCGTGGGTGTGGCTGGGCCGAGGTAATCACGGTCCACCACGACACTTTGGGAGAGCTACCTTGCCCTCTGTCTCTCTGCTTAATTGCCCCCCCAAAAGTCATTACGTTTGCCGACCAGCCTTCCTGGAGATCCAGACATTGCTCCCTCTCAGATGCCAATTTCGTGGGGATTAGCGAACCCCGGTTTTATCTTCTTTCTTCATATGATTCTGCCCCTTGGGTTCGGAGAGTTTTGCTTTGGATTTTAATTCACACCACTGGTCTTTGGGGGTGTTACTGCATTCTCAATTGCGGTCAGGCCCTCTACAGAGCTCTGTGCCTCATTTGGTCTACTAGTATTCAACGAAAAGCTTCGAGAACAAGAGTGGAAGCGCAAACACCATGTTCGACGCAACCCGGCGATGGTTCCGCCGGAATAGAACGCCTCTCGCCATCGGCGTGGGAGTCGTCGGTGCAGGATACGTCGTGACGAATTATGTCCTGGGCAAGATCAACGATGCGCGGGAGCGCATGAGCAGCGACCGCATCGCGAAGGAGAAGTGAGCTCTCATCCCCATCCCACCCGCGACCGGCAACTCCAGAGAGAAGACATCATGAACTGACAATGGCCCCCTCAAACAGCCTCCGCCGCCGATTCGAGCAGAACCAGGAAGACTGCACCTTCACCGTCCTCGCGCTCCTCCCCTCCGCGACGACTAGCATCCTCGAGGCTATGAACACGGAAAAGATCACGTACGAAATCCAGAAGATGAAGGGCCAGACCAAGAGCGTCAAGAGTGGCAGCGGCGAGAGCGTGAGTCCGCCGAGCATTGCGGACACCACAATGACCGCCGACGACGATGGCCGCAGTGTGGTCAGCAGCGGCGTGCAGAGCGAGAGCGGGCTGCACGCGAGCCAGATGACGGTGCCCAGCGCGGCCGCGACATCCGGGGAGGGCACAGCTGCGCAAGACGGAGGGGCCGCGGGTGCGGCGGCGGCGCAGAAGGCCAGGAAGACCAAGAGGCAGTTGTGGGATGATTTGACGATTAGCTGTAAGTGGATCGACACCGATCAGAGTAATAAGGGTGCCTCTTTTGCTGACGTGGGGGCCGGGCAGCAATCACGAGAGCGTTCACACTGCTGTACACGCTTGCGCTTTTGACAATGCTGACGAGGGTCCAATTGAACCTCCTCGGTCGACGCAGCTACTTGTCGAGCGTCATCTCACTCGCGACAGGTGCCGCGCAGGCGACGATCAGCCTCGAGAACAACGACGACGACGGCCTTGAGCCTTACGGCAACGACTTTGAAACCAACCGCCGATATCTGACATTTAGCTGGTGGCTTCTGAATGAGGGATGGAAGGAGATTGGCCAGCGTGTCGAGGCTGCCGTCCGCCAAGTCTTTGGCCACCTCAGTCCGCGCGACCTGCTCAGCTTTGAGCAATTCTCCGAGCTCACCCTCGCGGTGCGCAAGAATGTCGAGGGTGCGACGCCCGAGGAGCGTCGCAAGGCCAAGTGGCTTCCATACCTGCTGCCGCCGCGCAACAAGGAAGACCATGTCCTCCGTGAGTCTGGCATCCTGGAAGAGAGCACCGTCATGCTTTCCGAAAGCACGACGTCCCAGTCCCCCGCGTCGTCGCCCGCGGTCAGGAGGCTCCTCGATGAGACCTCGGACCTGATTGAGTCCCCCTCCTTCACGCACGTACTCACCCTCCTGCTTGACGCGGGCTTCTCCACATTGGTGGACAAGAAGCTCGCCTCGGCGGCCTTTGACAAGCCGGACCTCGCGCAGTCGGAGCCCCGCACTTCGCAGGTCGTGTTGCTGCCCAAGATCCTCTCGGTGCTCACCAGGCAGGCGCACGTGATTGGCAACGGCATGCCGAACGAGTATCTCCAGGAGATGGAGCAGGTGCGCGACCTGGAGGGCTTAGCGGCGGTGGTGTACTCCAGCAACTGGGAGAACGAGATCCAGCAGGAGGAGGGGGGCATCATGGCCAGCGCCGTGGATGTCAGAGCGAGCGAGGTGCCGTCGAGGCCCAGCCAAGCGACGACCAACATCCCGAGCCAGCAGACGCAGGCGACGACACAGGGGACCGGCGAGGAAAGCGTTGTGGTCGTCGACCCCGCGACAAGTTTCGAGAGCGCGTGGGGTAGGGCGGTGGACCAGAAGTAAGATGACGGCAAGGAACCATTGGGGTTGCCCTGCTGCTAAGGATATGACTTTTTTTTAATGAGAATCATGGGATTGGAAGGATGGCGAGGCGAGGGTGCTTTGAACGGGAATTATAGGTATCATTGTATAATCTATGGGCGAGAGATAGATGGACATCTCGATCTGTACCAACAGCACGGGCCGGCCTGAAAAGAGACGGCGGCTCCGTTCCTTTTTTCTTCTCTTTTGGTATCCTTCTGACCCCGTCTCACATCCGGTCTCTATGGTTCGCCTCTATCATGGGGTTTGGTGACATGTTCGCGGCTCTCCTGGTCGCGCCGTGGCCGAGCCCTGATCGTAACAGAAGCCCTCCTTAGGGGGAGGACTCTGATGGTTGTCTCGCTGGACAAAACTTCCATACGTGTCTTTGGTTTTGTAATTTCACTATGCTTTCGGTCGATGCGCTCACATCAGGCCCCTGATGAACTGATCCAAGCCCAGCTCGAACAGCTCATTCTTGACGCCCTCTCCGCCCTTATGCTCAGCCGGCGCTAGAGGATTCTTGACGACTGCAGAGACGGCTAGTCAGCATCGTGTGTTTCGCTTCCCGATTTGCCAGGGATGTGGTCTTACCATATTCAACCCATAAATTGATGTAAATCTGGTGCAGGACGTTGCGCATGCTCAGCGTCGCCGTGTCGGTGAGCATGACGAAGCGCAGGTTGGAGGGCGTCTCGTAGTAGTGCAGCTTGTAGCCGGAGGTGCGGTAGCTGATGAAGGCGTCATCGTCGCCGCCGAGCTTGCGGACCATGTTGCGCAGCGAGAAGACGGTGCCGAAGATGAGCTTCGCGTCGTCCTTGGCGGAGTTTGTGTGGGAGCGGCGGAGCTGCTGCGAGGGGGCGGCAGCGGCGGCGCCGGGGCCGGCGGAGCTCGAGGGTGGTGGTAGTGAAGCCGGACGGTCGGCGGGGAGCCATGTCTTGCTGTAGATGCATTCCGTGTGCCGGTCGAAGATGTAGAAGGAGTAGACGACCATGATGGGCGATTTGACGTGGAGTGTGGTGGTGGTGGTGTCGTCGGTGAGGTGCGGCGTGCGGGATCAAGGTCCCATTCCGTTTGGGGAGGTCGCGCAACGCAAGTCGAAGCTTCGTGGTCTGGAATTGGGCTGAATGATTGTCGCTTCGATGTCGCTGGCGAGCTGTGGGAGCTCTTGTCGTGTACGCGCAGGGTATCGCAGGCCCAAGATGATGTCGCTGGGAAACGGTCGTCGGGAGCCTGACGAATGAGCAAACGCTCAGTGGCACCCCCCAGGCTAAGGTACGTCTCTGGCCGAGCCTCGGTGGCCTAGGAATGCGCAATGAGACCCTGGAGCCTGTCCGATTAGGTGTGTGCAGGGGCAGCCCGTGGCGGGGCACTCTCAGTGGGGAGTGAAATGCTCTCTTCCTCCCCGCCCTGGACAAGATCCATTGTGTTCTGAAGGCGCCTCTTTTGTGGTTTCTGCTTGCTGCAAAGAGGAGGGGTTCGCAGTCTTGCGCTGGCCCTACGAGGAAGCCACTAAGCCTGGGCAAGCCCACCTCTTTGGGGGCTGTTGTAACGCGCCCAATGGCATCAAGCTCTGGGTCTAAAGATGCTCGAAAGCCTTACGCGGTCCATGGGATCGCCGATGGATAAACGGCAGCGAAATGGATGCTCGAAGCCTTGGGAACCGGGGATTTGGACCGGGCCTGACGTGGGGGCTGAACCGACACAGCTGAACATGACGCCGGGCTGGGAAGTGTTTTTCTCCCCCCCTCTCAGCGTCGTTTCCCACCTGCGGTGTTCCTCTTTTTTTTTTTAAGCTTGAGTCGTCGCTCTCGCAAAATTCCAGCCCTTGCTTCTGCTGGTTTATCTTGGTCGCTTTCGGTTTTCCCCCACCTTGGTCTACGTCGGGTCAGGTTCGGTCGCAACAAGGCTTGAGCACACAGATTAGGTAGCCGGCATAGCTCAGCTGAGCTCTCTCTCCCCCACCTGGTGCTCTCCAACTCGAATTCCGTCATTCCCCCAAAAACGTCAGCTCGCCTTTTTCTCTCTTTTCCATCGTTCCAGCTTTGCACGACACACACAGCCTGGCGCTGGAGGCGACAATGTCTGAACCCGGCGAACTCCAGAGCCCGCCAGCAACGGCCATGGCTTCCGCAACCCTCGCGACCACCGGCGGCATCACTTCGCCCACCATTACCGTAGAAGAGGGCGGCGCGGAAGCGCGTCCGCCGCTCGCTAACCACATGTGCGTCTGCGCCGGTCCTTGTTGAGCCTCCCTCCCTCCTCCCTTCCCTCTCGCTGCGTTGCGCGCGCTGCGACTTGCACTGCCTCCCCCGCGCTCCACAAGCACGCAGCTCTAACCTCGTCCCGTGTTGCCGAGCAGATCCGATTCGGCCGCCCAGCCAACAAAGTTCCAGAGTCCCTTGCGACATCACCGTCGAACGCCGTCGGCTCATCGCGAAGTCAAGGTGCGTCAGCTCAGCGTTGTTGAGCTTTGGCCCCGCCGCGCTCCCAAGTTAGTGGGGGCGGGGTAGCTGCCCTGTCTGTCATCAGCGACCAGGGACTCACAAGCAGCAGGAAACCCTCGATGCTGTGACTGAATATGGCAGCGAGGGCCAGGACGGACGGAGCAACCACCGTATTAACCAGTACATAATCAAAGAGGAGATTGGTCGAGGTTCGTATGGAGCAGTGCACCTCGCGACAGACCAGTTTGGGACCGAATATGTAAGATGGGCTCGCTCCGTCATCTGCCCAGAGCCAAGCTCACACCTCGTAGGCCGTCAAAGAGTTCTCCAAGGTCCGTCTTCGCAAACGAGCCCAGTCCAGCATTCTCCGCCAAGGAGCTCGTCGACCCCAGCGATTCGCCCACCGTGTAAGTCTCAATGCGCCGCTGTCGCCACACTTTGGCGACTTTGGCGGAGACAATCCAAGCCCCAGTGCCAGCGATGCCTTATTCTTCATCAGGCAAGAGATTGCCATCATGAAGAAGCTCAATCACCCGAACTTGGTCCAACTCATAGAAGTGCTGGACGACCCAGAGGAGGACTCCCTGTACATGGTCCTCGAGATGTGCAAGAAAGGCGTTGTCATGAAGGTCGGACTCGGCGAGACGGCCACACCGTACCCCGAAGACTCGTGCCGTTACTGGTTCAGAGACTTGATATTAGGCATCGAGTATTGTAAGTGATCTAGTGTTTGCACCGCCAGCAGGGCTGATGCGCAGCAGTGCACGAACAAGGCGTCATTCATCGCGACATCAAGCCTGACAACCTTCTGCTGACTGAGGACGACGTCCTCAAGATTGTCGATTTCGGCGTCTCAGAGATGTTCGAGAAGCCTGGCGACGGCATGATGACTGCCAAGTCCGCGGGCTCCCCGGCCTTCTTGGCTCCCGAGCTTTGCGTAGTCAGGCACGGCGATGTGGACGGCAAAGCTGCTGATATCTGGTCCATGGGCGTTTCACTGTACTGCCTGCGATACGGCAAGATCCCCTTCGAGCACGATGGCGTACTGGAAATGTACGAAGCCATCAAGACGGAGTCTCCTCATCTGCCCGAGGACGAGGATCCCGACTTTGTGGATCTCATGAATAGAATTCTGGAAAAGGACCCGAAGAAGCGCATCCCGATGGCGGAGCTGAGAGTACGTGCTGTCCGTCTACTACGTTCGCCGCCGCCGAGATTGCTGACAAGATTCAGGAGCATGCCTGGGTCACAAAGGGAGGGACGGATTTGTTGCTTTCCAAAGAAGACAACTGTGCGGCCCTCATTGAGCTCCCAAACGAGCTCGAGTTGAACCGTGCTTTTACGCGGAAGATGAACCATCTTCTCTGCGTGGTGAGTAGTAATTGGCATTGTCTCAGAACGTCTCTAACCTTAGTGTAGATGAAAGCGATCCACAAGTTCAAGACCATCCTCATGAGGCGCAGGCAGAGTCGCAACTCTACGCTCTCGCCACGCGGTGATGGCGGTAATGAGTTGATCGACCAGGACAGGGACAGGGCTCGCGCAGAGGAGATTGAGGCTCTCATCGCGAAGCGCCGTGAGTTCATGAAGAAGCAGGGAGGCAGCAGCGGTGCGACGGACAAGAGCGACGCGACCGAAAAGGCGGAGAACGAGCCGCTGATCCTTGGTATCGGGATCGGTGCTCGTGACGAGTTCGACAAGAACGAGCCGTCGGCGGGTGCTGTGGCTGAATCTCCGACCAACGTCGACTTTAACATTTACGACAAGGCATACGAGGCCGAGGTGGAGCGCATCATGTCCAAGCCCAAGAGGCAAACGACAATGTACCTGACGCGGTTCGTCAAGGACCGCGAGCAGTTCAAGGAGGTCGCCAACGTGATCGAAGGGACGTCCGCGGCCGTTACACCAGCAGGAACGCCGAGATTTGATACCCACCAGGCGGCAGCGAAGGGCCGGTTCGCGGACTTGGTGTCCAGTATGACGGGCAAGGGCAAAGACACAGAGGGCGAAGAACAATAAGAAAGGGCGATCGCATCCGTGAGTCCGCAAAGGCCATGGCTTGGCGTTGGGGTATTTTCTTTTCTTGTTTTACCGTGGTTGTTGGGACGATTTACCTAAGCACTTGTCTTCCAAAATATGATACCTGTTCGCGGCCGGCGGCCAAATGAATGGAACGGGACATTGCTTGCTGATGAAAGTTTGGCGGCGGCAGAGCACAGGAAAACATGATTGCGGTTCACCGTGGTTGACAATTTCGTGTGAAATTGGGATTCGTCTTGCATGGGTGTTCCACTTTTGGCCAAGGGGATAGAAGGTCCAGTGCCATTCTGGAAGCTGTGGAACGCCCTGTTAAACTGGGGAAACAGTCGTGGCAGCCATGCTCGGCCGAAGACATCATCACTTGTTCCGTCCTTCATCTCTCTTGCCGAAAGTGGTTTCCACGCTAGTCGTCCATCCCCGGTGGAGATAGCCAATCGCGTGGGAATGAGGCACAGCCAGAAATCCCATCCGAGGCAAGGGGGCCAAACCACCTCCAGTCTCCAGTCAGCATTCCTTCCTTTTTCCATCGTTCTGGCCCCCAATTTACCAATGCACTTTACGGAACGGCGACGCCGGCTTCAACTTCCCCAGTCCCAGTCGATAGGCTATACCGAGAGTTAATAACGTCGTCGATGGAAGCCACAATATCCTTCAAGCGACGACTGTTCTCTAACAGGAAAGATACGCATTTCGACAGGAGAACACGAGATCAAGACTTATTCGCCATGGCCCCCGACGGCGACAGCTTCCCGATGGGCAACCAACCGACGGGGTTTTCGGTAAGCCCATGAAACAAACGGACAAGCTCCATTATTCACGACGACAACCTTACTGAACACTCGGCCTTGCCAGCTCCTGAGGCGATCGTTCGTTCCGTCGTTCTCCCTATCAAGCAAACGCTTGAGCACGCCAGCACCCTCCTCTGTCAGCAACACCATGCCTAGCCGATGCCAGGCATGCCGCAACCTAGACATTTGGCGAGCCACGGAACGCCTTCCGGGGCACACTCTGTCCGCCCTCGTAGATGGTGTTGTTCTCGCCAGACTCAAGACTTTCGAGGACCCTCGCGATTGCGATCTATGTCAGCTCTTCTCTCGCCTGTACGTTGAAATCGACCCGGCAGCCTCCGGCTCCGTTCACACAGCAGAACTCCGAGCTTTCCCTCTTGTGCCGCACATTGCTCTACGGTCGCTCAGGCAAGGCTTCTGGAAAGGCGACACCGGGTACTTATTCGAGGCGGAGGACTTGACCGACTTCTTCCTTGCTGTCGTGCCGTCTGACTTCACCCACACAGGCGGTAGGGACAACTCGCGGTTAGAGAAGCTCATCTCCAAGCAGGGACTCGTCATGTGGCATCGGGAGATTCAAAAGAACACAAGGTTGTTCTCTCCACGCATCGTCACGCCCCAGTTCAACGCTCGGGTCGTCATGGAGTGGCTGGACTGCTGCAAAAAGTACCACCCGGCTTGCCATCGCGGACAGGGCGCTCTGCCCAACATGCGACTTATCGACTGCGAGACTAGAAGCGTTATCACTGTCGAGTCTCTCCCTACCGAGGGTCATCCGGAATACGTGGCGCTTAGCTACGTATGGGGAAAAAGTACGAGTAGCCTCTTGGACTTTACGGACACGGGCACGTCATTACCCAAGAATCCGCCCCAGGTCATCGAGGATGCGATGAAGGTTACCGCTTCACTTGGCTACCGTTTCCTCTGGGTCGACAAGTACTGTATCGATCAGCACGACAGCGGTAAGAAGCACGAGCAGATTATGCACATGGATTTTGTGTATCAGAATGCGGCTCTCACCATCGTCGCCGCTGCTGGAGACGATGAGACTTGTGGTTTGCCTGGCGTGTCCACCGAGCGGCCATCACAACAAAGCTTCTTCCCTCACGAGCGGTTCAACTTGCGCTCGGCCCTTCCGTCGCCTAAGCAGAGCATTCTGGACTCTCGGTGGGCTACAAGAGGGTGGACGTATCAGGAGGCTGTCCTATCAAGCCGACGCCTCATCTTCACGCGAGACCAACTTTACTTCGAATGCGGTTCGATGAACTGCCATGAGAGTTTGCGAGTCTCATTCGACGCCTTGTATCGGCAAAGGAGGTCACACCTTGACGACTACATTCGCCGTTCGCTCTTCGGATCTGAGCATTTGACACCCCAGACGGCAAAATACGACGAGACATCCAGGCTGAACAAATTTCTTGCTTACACACAATGCGCCGAGCAGTACTCAAGACGAATACTAAGCTTTGACGAAGACGGTATGAATGCATTTGGGGGCATTATAAAGAGGCTAGAGTCGACGACAGACTTTCCCGTTCGGCAGATATGGGGTATACCATTCTTCCATCCAAAGGACGACATACTTGCGTCTGTAGGGAATGTGGACTACTCGGGTTACCTTTTGACCGCGCTGGCCTGGAGGCATGAGCTATACAAGCCCACAAGGCGGCGCAAGCAGTTCCCTTCCTGGTCCTGGACGGGATGGGAAGGGTCGGTCACCTGGCCAAGCCCGGTGGACTCAAACAACATCCATAGTCCAGAGGGTGTCGACATGGCCAGCATTCAGCTGTACCTGGAGGACGGCACCACATTACCATTATCTGAACTTGATCCGCGGAGTCCGGACCAGAACTTTTCGCAACCAAGAGCTCTACTAATTCACACTTCCGCCGTTCCAAGGACGGCGTTCATTTCCGACGGTTCCAACCATAGCATGCGACTTGCAAACGGCGGAGAAGTTCGGCTGCATCCCAGTAAGGAGGATTTGGATGCACCAAAAGTATTCAAAAGGATACAGACTGGACGGTACGAGGCCATCAGGCTCGGCACCATCAACGACGACGCATACATGATGCTGATCAAATGGTACCGAAATTCGGCATATCGGATCGGCACGCTCGTCGTTAACAAGTACTATCTAACATACTCATCGCCTGTGGCGAGAACATTCAAAATCAAATAGCCCTAGTTTAATCACACCCTGCTCGATACAACAGGTTTCAGATGCCTTCAACGCCCTCAGACTCATGCCAACAAAAGCTTCAGGGGCCATCGTCTTGAAATTCTTAACCGCTGCTCCTATGGGCTGCCCGTGAACGTCGTCTTCGGCAATCAACAAATGAAATGGAGGCTGCGCCCCTCGTTTGTGTTGGCGCTGAGGCGCAGCAGCAGGCTGCGGCGAGCCTCACCTTCGCTCCAACACACGTGATGAAATTCCTCTCTGCAACAACACATCAGCTCTATCTCTTCCAGCTACTATGCCTGACTTATTGTGAACGTTCTTCGCGATGTCTGATCCATTGTCAGTTGTCGGAAGTGTTGTGGGAATCGTCTCGCTTGGTATCCAAGTGACACAGACGCTTTACAACTACTACAATGCTTTTTCAAACGCGGAGTCGGATGTCGCACACATTCTTACAAAGTTGGAAAGTCTTCTAGAGTTACTCGATAGCTTACATCGCCAGCTCAAGGACCGCAAATTCCGCTCGAACGACCGTCATCTCTTGGCGTTGGTTGAAAAACATGTCCAGGAATGCGAGGACTGCATTGAAGATCTCCGTGATCATGCAGAAAAGTTTGGGGATCTACAGCCAAAAGACAATCTGGCTATTGCAAAAGCTCTCGGTCGACGGCTTGCTTGCCCATTCCGGGAGAAGACATTGAGAAGGCTTAGAGAGGATGTCGCTGAGGTCTTCAGTCGCATGTCTTCTGCATCACAACAGCTGCAGCTGAACGACACCAGCAATATTCGGAATGAAGTTGAGGAAATCAAGACTTTGATGGACCTAGTGAGGGCCAGCCAGGTTGATAATAAAGTCTTCGAATGGTTGAAAGCCCCTGACGCTACGATCGACTTCAATGAAGCCTGTAAGAAAAAGCACCCCGGAACAGGCCTGTGGTTTGTCCAGGGCCCCGCGTACAAGTCGTGGCTCGAAATACCGGGCTCGTTTCTCTGGCTGAGCGGCTTTGCTGGCTGCGGCAAATCTGTCCTCTGCTCCACGGCTATCCAGTACGCCTTTCGACACCGGAGGTCTAACCCACGAGTCGCCATCGCATTCTTTTTCTTTTCTTTCACCGATGTCGGCAAGCAAAGTGTGTCGTCCATGCTGCGCTCCTTGGTGCTACAGCTGTTTGGCCAACTCAATGGCGGCTGCAACTATGTAATGCGATTACGAGACACCTACCGCAACTCTACGCCACCAGACCAAGTCTTGATTGATTGTCTCCTCGAGCTTTCCAGATTGTTTAAGGACACCTACATCATGATAGATGCTATTGACGAAAGTCCGCGCGACGAACATCGCGAGGCTGTTCTCGAAACGCTGCTTCTCCTACGCCACAAGCCAGGGCTACACCTCCTCGTGACAAGTCGAGATGAGACCGATATTCGAGAAACGCTAAACCCATCCTTGAAACAACATGTCACGATGAAAAACCTCTCGGTGGACGAGGATATCGCTCGCTACATATCAGAACATCTTCGCAAGACCGCCCGCTTGTTGAAGTGGTCCAAAGAATTTGCCCGCATTGAGACCGCACTGACGAAGCGCGCAAACGGGGTGTAGGTCACCTCTCACCATCACCGGCAGACAGTGCAGCTAACTCTGTTACAGATTCAGATGGGTTGAGTGCCAGTTCAAAGCACTTGCCAGCTGTCCCGTGAGCCCTCACAACTTGAGCAAGCTGCTCGAGTCTCTGCCCAAGACATTGGATGAAACCTACGAGCGAATGCTCCTTGGTATCCCGGAGCATGCTCAAGAGTGCTCTCAGCGGATATTGACGGCTCTCTGCTGAGCCAAACGGCCCTTAACAGTACCGGAAGTCATCGAGTGTGCGGCCATTGAACTGGATCCCGAGCCGGCATTGAATCCAGACCGTCGGCTTGAAAATGCAAAGGCCATTGAGGAAGCCTGCCCTGGTTTGGTGGAGATCTACACGGCACCGTTCAAGACGTCGGATTCGCGAACCTATGTGAGAATCGCTCACTTTTCTGTTCAGGAGTATCTCGAGTCCGAACGGATATTGAACCATAAGTCCGTGTCGCAATTTCATACCGGAGGCCACGGCGGTCAAGTCGAGATGCTGAACATCTGCCTGGCCGTTTTGAATGCTGAACATAAAAGGCTCTCGGATTTCATTAGCCTCATACATGATGTCAGCGGGCCGCTGGATGAATACGCACATTCACACTGGTACCTGCACTTTACAGAAGGCGAGGAGACGATGGCGTTGATAGATCGAGTCCTGCGACTTTTCCAAGTCTCGCCGTCACTTCGCACCATAGTATTCGAACACCTTCGCTTCGATCGCGGTTTCAATCAATTGGATTTGGAAGAAGACAATCTTGAACCGCTAGAATTCGATGTGGATGATTTCGGACGCCTGGAGCTTGCAGGAGGCACTCTAATCGAGGACAAGACCTGTGTCTACTTGATGACTATGCTTGGGTTTCACTCAGTGCTAGCTCGGTTGCTTGCTAACGACAGAACCGACGTGGACAGACCTGTTGCAGGCATGACCCCATTGCAGCAGGCATCCTCAGATGGGCATGACGAAATAGTACGGCTTCTGCTGGAGCATGGCGCTGGCATCAACTTATCTGGGAAGCACGGCAACGCGTTATCAGCAGCGGCCAAGAATCGTCATATGGGCACCGTCCAGCTCCTTGTGGACCACAACGCCGATGACAATGCAGGAGGAGAGAGGTTTGCCTCGGCTCTGTCTGCGGCGGCCTGGGGTGGAAATACGGACATTGTCCAGCATCTCCTCGATCATGATGCTGATGTAAACGCCACTGGTAAAAGCCTGGCTTCATCGCTAGTCAGCGCAGTGACAAAGGGTCACGCGGATGTCGTTCAGCTTTTGCTAGACTCCGGCGCTGATGTGACGGCACTGAACTCGGCTGGCTGTGCACTAATGGCGGCTGCGCAGCATAGTCGCATATTGATTGCAAAGCTTCTCCTCGAACAAGGAGCCAACGTGCAGTGTCTACATCGCGGTCTGGAGGACACATATCATTTGAACCCGTTGGTCATTGCGAGTGGCAAAGGAGATTTGGAAGTCATGAAGCTTTTGCTCGAACACGGTGCTGACCCCAATGCCATAAGATATCACCGACATTCAATCCGTCAATCCATGTTCATAAGCACTCCACTGTTATCTGCACTCGAACGCGGAAATGTAGAGGCTGCGCGACTTCTCCTCGAGCACGGCGCCGATCCCAACCTGAAAGCGCAAAGTCGTCCCCGGACGAGGACTGATTCTCGGCCTCTCCTACAGGCGATCAGATGTGAACGCAACGATACCGAAATGGTAGAGCTTCTCCTAGACTACGGCGCCAATCCGTACGATAACGGCAGTCGCGGAAAGGATGGGGCGCAGCGTCTGGCTCGTTACCTCTGCAAGATGAAACTACGCCAATTGATTCAAGAACATATGACGAAGTATTCGGAGGAAGAGTGCTTAGCAAAGTCTACCAAGATGAACGGTAATAAGGAAGGGAGCATCGATAGGACCTGCGAGTAGGACGATGACAAGGGCAACAACAAGATAGTCCTGGGTCTACCGATAGACCAAGACTGATTACCGTTACATGCTGCAGCAGCAAACAAGACGTCCAGAGCCCAGATTTCAGCCAATCGTTCCCACGCAGACGTTTTCCAGAAGTGATGATGAACCTGTCTTCTCTCCTGGAGCTCTTCCATGAAAAGGAGTCTCTGATGTCTCAAGGCCTTCTTTCCCTGTACTAGTCCCAAGGCTCCTCGGCGGCCACCGTGCTCCGTCCCATAGGCCCCTCTCATGACGAGAGAGGCTGCCTAACAGCAGCCACATACTACCCAACAAGTCAGCCAGCCGCTCTTCAACCTAATCACAGACGAAACTCACAGGAATGATCTGCATCCTCTCGAGATCCCAGATCCCGCTCGTAGCATAAACATCGTTCTCGATGATAGCCTTGACATCCTCTAGGCTTTACGCGGTATACACCACCACGCTGCCCCATTAACAGGCCTCCGTAGCGTCTTCGTTCGGGTGTCTTTCAAGCATTGCCCCTAGAGCCCGTAAGCCCAATTCTGAATTCACAGTGACCCTTTCATGGGGGCGGTGGGGAACAACATCATACCTCCGGAAACTAGCCTCCCAGACTCGATGAGGGGCTTGATTCCTTCGTAATGCTGGCTTTCTGGGCGTCAGCAGTGACCAGGACGCGGCCAGGCAGACGAGATATATTACCTCTTGACTTGCTTGCGGACTTGCAGCACGTTGGGCTTATCCGGCATTATGCAAAGAAACTCCTTTGGTGCCCGCGTAGCCATCGTTCTGGCACCGGCACCAAGCGACATGTTGGCAGTGCGCAGAGCAAAGGTCATTGTCCTCGCATACATGAAGAAAGACGAACGGCTGGGCAGTTGGATAATTGTTGAGAACTAGCCAACTATACGACGCTCGCTTGTCTTGTTCATTTAAGAACAATTTGTGGTGTATGTCATCATTCTGTGATTGACTCCTTGTTAGTCGGGATGACAGACTCGACACTCGGAGGACCGGTCCCGGCGCTGGTGGGACCCGGATGACCAGGCATACACCGAATCGGGCAAGCACGCTTATACCGTTTGCAACGGCACAGGGATGGCGGCCGGCTGCATAGTCTGGGCCACTTACACTCACTCGAGCACTAATTGCGACACAAAACACGATAAACACACGATTAAGGGGTATATTGACCGCTCAAACGGAAGCACATGAACGATATATATAAGCTACCAACTCGCAATTGCAGCGCACCAGCCGTGCACTCAAACACCCGACCGCCAGAGGAATATCCACCCCGCAAGAAAGCCCAAAGCTACACAAACCTAAGAAATTGAACCGCAAACTTTTTCATGCACCAAGCTATTCGTCGTCATCAACGTCCATAGATTCTTGAGCGGGCCTTCCCCGTGTGCTGCGCGCCGATGTTCTGGTTGCCGTTTTGGGAGCGACCTTCTCCTTTGGTGCGGGACGGGCCGGCAGCTTCGTCTTTGCGGCTGCCTTGGAAGTTGCCGCTGATCGGCCCTTGCGTCCGTTGGACTTGGGCGGAGGTGAGGTCTTCTCTTCTTCCTCGTCGTCGGCCTCTTCCTCTTCCTCTTTGTCTGACTTTGCAGCAGCTTCGTCAAGGTCTGACAACGGGGAATCTTCCCTATCTTCCTCTGCCTTGCCACTCGTCTCCTTGACCGGCTCGTCCTCCTCTTCGTTGTCGCCCTTTGGAACGTCTGAGAGGGCAGACGAGTCGCCGTCCTTATCCGAGTCCTCAGACTCCGATGCGGAACCCTCCGCCTCTGGCGTTGGTGCGCCCTCAATGTACTCCCACGATTGTACGCCATCCCACATCTCCTTGTCATCATCAGACGAGTCGCGCTCGGCGTACTGGGAAGTCTTTGTGGCTCTTCCGCTACGCCTCCGGTTCTCCTCGGGTATGTCAGAGCCTGGGCGCTTCTTGATCTTCGCGGGCTTCTTGGGAGCGGCCTGTTTCTTGACCTTGGGAGGCTTTGGCTGCTTGGGTGGCCTAGGCTCCTTGACCTTAGCAATCTGCCTAGCCTTCTTCGCCGCCGGTTGACGATCTCCCCTCTCGTCCATGGACTTGCGCTTCTGCATGGCTGTCAGCGAGATACTGGAAAGTCAAAGGGATATTCATACCTTTTTCCTATCGATGGACTTGAAGAGATCGTCAAGTTTCTCGTCAATTTCCACAGGGAGGAATTGCTTCTCGGCAATCTCTTGGGCTACCTGGTGCGAGGGCAGAGCGGTGTAAAGACCGACAGGGAGGCCGACCTTGGTCGGAAACGCCTGGAAACTCCAGTTCTTCCTCTCTTGCCATTTTCTGATGACAGCCTGCGCCAGGTCGCTGATGATTTGCAGGTTCTCGCTCTCATCGGGATGGATGGCGTCACGAGTTTGCTTCACTCTTTCAGCATACTTGAAGATCAGACCCAGGTTTCCCTCGGTAGCCACGTTCGAAACGTAGTATAGGATGTAGCGGCCGTGGTCAGCCAGATCGCTAGCATAAGATGCTCGGTCCTCCTCGCTGGCCTCGGCAAGGTTAGGTAGTCTGTTGAAGTCGGGGTGGTGTGCCAGCAAAGAAATAAGCCTGGCCATGATGGCCTCCATGGGACGCTGCTCGGACGTCTCCAACGCGCGCACGCGGGAGCGAATCCACGTCTCGATACGTTGCTTCAAGTCGGAGTTGGGCTCGAATGCTGTGAGGAAAATGATGGTGTAGAATCGCACGCGAAGCTTGCCTCGGGCCAGGTACTTCTGGAGCTTCTCGATGAAGCCCTTCCGAACCTGGAGCTCAGGATCTTGGGCAGTGAAGGCCAAACGATCAAAGTCGGCGCATGTCAGCAGGTCATCGAAGTGCTTGATGGTGCACAACTTCAACAGAAGCTGAGCAGCAAGCAGGCGGAGCCTTGACTTGTGGTGCTCTGGTGTATCCTTCGTCTTGCAGAGCTCTCCCCTCTTGACAACCAAGGTCTTGAGCAACTTGAAGACCGGAGGCGCCTTTTCCTGGGCCTCTTCGGCCTTCTGCATGCTCCGGAGGCGGTTGACGAGGATGTGCAAGGACAAGCACTTTGCCTGCAGTTCCTCGTCCATGTCGGCATCCTCAACCCACTTAGGGTCCTTGTCGGAAGCATCCCCTCGAACTTGCAGCAGGATCTGCTGGACCGTCATGTTGAGAATATCGTCATCGGCGTCCAAGGTAATCTTGGGCGCTTGGAGCTCCAGCTGCGCAACAGCCTGCAACTTGTTCAGGAAGTGAGGCGAGCCGTACTTCCAGTCCTCCATGACCTTCTGCAATAGACCTGTAGCGCTTACAAGTCCCTTCTCGTCCCCCTTGGCGAGGAGAATCTTGATGGCGTACTTGGCACACTTGACCGGTCGGCCGTACAGAGCATAACTTACCAGAGCTTGCGAGAACTTGCGGTCCTGGGGAATCTCTTCCGGGTACTTCTTTGAGTAAGACGCGCAAGCCTTGAGAGTGTCGACCACTATCGAATCGTTCTCGCTGGTTTCGCTCGGTGCCTGGTCGATCAGACCCTTGCACAGTCCCCCAACGTGGGTCTTGAACAGCTCAGGGTTGCGCTGTGAAATCTCATTGAGGATCTCGTGAGAGACGGTGCCGTAGCCGTCCTTGTCGTTTCTTGAGTAGTCAAGAATAGTCGCAAGATGGCTGCGGTTGAACAGCAGGCAAGCCGATCGGTAGAGGAGCGGAAGCAGCGTATCCAAAACGGCCGCCGACTGGCTAGCGTTCATACGCTTCACGAGCTCCTTGATGGCTTGTCGCACTGTTTTGTAATCGCTCTCGGAGCTGACTGAGTACTTGACAAGCTGGTATGCGCGTCGGTCGTTCTGGTTGGCGAACTTTTGAAGGTCCGTCTTCACCTTGAACGAATCCGGGAAGAATTGTGTGATGTACCCCACTGTACGCTCCAGGTTCGCCGTCTTCTTCGGGCGGTTGTCATCCATCACACCGCCATTGTAAAGCTCGCACTGCTTGACGAAAGTCTCCAGGACCTGTGCAAACTGAGGCTGTCGACCCTGCATGGCAAAGAAGGCCTTCTTGGCGGCCGAGTCTAGCGACTGCGTCAGAAGCAGAAGCCTCTCTGCGCGGATCCGATCCTGTTCGGCAACGCCCGCGTTCTGTTGGCTCTGGCTTGATGACGCTCTGGTGCTCTTCGGAGTCTTGATGGGCGGGTAGTTCAAGGGGATGAGACATTCAAAAAGGACGCGATCAAGCAAGATATTGAGCTCGAGATCGTTGGCGTAAAATGCATTGAAGATGCGTGTAGGGATTCCAGAGAGGGCTGCAACAACAGCCTCTTGTCCGGCAGCCAACTCGCCAGAGCCGACAGCCCAGAGCTTCGCCAACAGAGTCATTGCGTCAACTCGAACAGCATTACGCTTGTCACGGCAGCGGTCTGCGAGACTGTTGAGGACGGATCCATCCTTGTCCACGCCTCCAGGTGCTCCAAGCTTGGTAACGAAGTCGCGGAAGCTGAAGAGCTCCATGACCTTGACAGCAGCCAGTCGAACCTTTTCATCGCCATCATTGAGCTTCTCGCCGAGATACTTTACCAACTCGGATTGCTCCTCGCGGCTGAGACCAATGCCACCAGCCGAAGTGGCCAAAATGTAGCCAACCGCGTTGGTCCAAGCAGCTCGAATTGCCGCCGTCTTGTCGTTTCTTCTGCCCAAGAAATGGTGGTACGCGGTCGCGTGAGTTTGGGCAAACGACTGAGGCGAAAGTGGCGTTGTGAGAACGCTATCGGAAACTTGGCTGGGCGCCTCATCGGCCAGGCGCAGAGGGGGGTACTGAGCGGGATCCAAAACGGGGAGAGGTGGTGGGCCAGCAGCGCCAAGTCCAGAGATCATGTCTCCGAGAGTTTCCGTAGCCAGTTGTCGCAAATCGACGTTGTCGGCCGAGAGCTCTGCCTCAACCTGAGGAATCACGTTTTGCAAGACAGACGGGCAGGCGCGCCAAAGTTCCCTAATCAGAAAGTGAGCTTTTCTGAGCTCCTTAAGTTCCGAATCCGTCGGGCCTCTGGGCGCATCCTCATCGTCCTCTTCATCATGCTTTCCTACTGTCTTTGCTGCAAAACGCGAGGCATCAAGGATGACATCGCTGAAATACTGGCTGACGTAGTGCACCATTTTCTCGGTGCAGACGTTGCAGATTTCCTTTGCCATGATGTAGGCTGGTGGTTCGTCTTTGGGCAACAAAGTGGACTGGTTACCGTTCTGCTCGCCGCGTTCCGTACGGCTCTGGAATCCACCCGGAGGTGCCGCTCTAAGGAATTGGGCCATGATGACCTCGATAACCTTGGGGTTCATGCCGGAGGCCTCGTCGACAAGGGCGATGAGCATTTCCGTCATGGTATTACCAACTTCCTTGGAAACGCCCTCTTCCGAGCTGGAACCTCCCGAGACACCATCGAAAAATACAGAAAAAAGACGGAGAAGCATCTCATCGGCGCCATCGACATCGTTGATGAGAAGAATACTCTTTACTTCGGTAAGTGCAGTCAGCACGGCCTTGTGCTGGCTGTGGTAGGGATGAGCCTGGTCGCTCAATGACGGAAAGATATGCGATACGAGGAGATTGAAGAACATCTACAAGATCAATTGTTAGGCTGGGCAGAGAATACACAACATTCTAGGGGACTGACCTTGGTCTGGTCCGCGGTGAAGGGCGCGTCGGGGGCGCACAGGCGGAGGATTTCCGAGATGCACACTGCAGTATACGCCTTCACACCCTTGTCTTTATGCGCCAACAAATTGCGTTGGCCCAAGGCGTGGGAGACATCAT